TACACAAAGGTGATTGGGAAATAAAATGTTTTCCAACAAAGGGTGCTAAAATAAGTATCCATATAGAACAAATAAAATGTAACCCCTATTTAACATGATGCATAAAAATTAGTTTGAACTAGTTCATTGATACAAATAAATGCAGAAACTAAATCTATACAGTTTTAAGACAAAAAATAAAAATAAGTTTCTGTTTCTGTGACAAAGTTTTCTCATGGTACAGAATTAAATTATCATGACAATTGATAGAGTCCATTAAAATGAAATAACTTCTGTTCAAAAAACTCGATTAGTGAAAAAAATGAACAAGTAACAGACTTGGAAAAATATTACCAAACAATCCTGAACAAAGAGCTGAATTCTTGATAAATCCAATAAAGAATTTCTGTAACTAATATTAAAAGCTAAAATAAGCTCATATGGAAACTCTTAGCAGTCATTTCAAGGAAAGATTATAAAGAACCAATATCTACATGAAATGTGCTCAATATCACTTATCCAGGTAAATATAAATTAAAACCACTCAGATATAAAAGAAATAGAAAAATATGATAAAATCTAACATGGGCAAAGGTGGAGAGCAATGGAAATGTTCATAAGTTGGTAAAACTGGAAAACGGTAGAACTAGTTTGCAAAAAAAGTTGTATTAAACAGCTGAAATTGTATTTATGACTCCATAATTCTAATTCTAGGTATTTCCCTAATAGAAATAAAAACCTATCTACAAATACTTACATAGGAATATTTATAATTGCCAAATTCTTCAATTGGTGCTTTATGGTAGATATTATTATTTTATTCACTGCTTATCTACAATTATCTGGTGAGCAAAATAAAAAAAATTATATCATGACTACATAGTAATGTGACACTAAATAATGCATAAGTACCTAAATCTTAAAAGTATAAAATTTTAGTAATTTGTGTTATTATTTTTTATATAAAAGAAATATATATATGCCATTTCCCATCATTGTTTTCTTGATTTCACCAAAACTCTAAGTAAGAAAGACTTCTGGTTTTAAAAAAGTATGTAAATTAACCTTTATATTTGGATCTAAAGTTATTCTAAAGACCATCTAACCCAGCCCCCTCAGTTCACCAAAGAAAATAAGATATTCAAAAAAGTCAAGTGGCTATTTCTATCATCATGGAAGAAAAAGCATATGACAAGATGTAGAAATCCATAGAACTTCTAAAACTGAGACTATTTTATTTCTCTAGCATATAATGGCAGTGCTATCCATATATAATTTTATTTTCATTGTCTGTTGATCTCATAGGAAGTCAGTGGGCATTGACTTTCAATGGGTACTAATGAAAGCTCTTTTATAATAGGCTTATAAAACAAGCACCGAATCGCTAATTTATCACAACTTGCTAGTTCAAATTCTACTATTCTTCCTCATGTTTCTACTGAAAGTAAAATAAATGATTAGTAATTCGAAGTTTTTTTATTTTTTTCACCAGAGGTTATATTACTTTCTATTAATTAAATTAGATGACCTCTCATACTGTCAGGATAGAAATATCCATTTGAAGTACAAATCAGAGGTCTGATAAAGCGAACATTGATTTTTCTTTCCAAGGCATGTGTATTGATCACCAACATCCAGTTGAATTTAGCTTTTCCTAACCATGTGATGTTTTGTTGCCAAATGTCTAGTGTGTGGTGCCAGCCACTCAGAGCAGCTGGTGTCAAAGGGCAGTTTGATTTGTATTGTAAAACTAACAGGACCTAAATTAAAAAGGGTGAAGAGCAGCCGCTGCAACCAGAAGGGATTTAAACGGAGAAGCTGTGTCTATTCACAAATGTTCTGTGTCCTTCAGAATTTACAGAAAACAATTGGACTGTCATTCCATATTTGGGTATTTAAGAACGGCAGCAAAGTGTCAATATGTTTTTTAATGTATTACTTGATAAATATTTAGAGCACAATTCTCCAGATCTCTTCATTCACAAATATCTTAGAAATAGGTCTTCTCCCTACCAGGCAGAATATGTGTGATTTGCAGCTTGTCTTGGCACAGCAGAGTCCTTCATCTTTTGTGCACTTTTTCTGCGCATCTTGGACGTGCACTTCATCCTAGCCTCTAAATGACCGTATACTTCCTGTGGTCCAAACTTTCCTTTCAGGGATTGAGCTGATTTACGTAAATTTTCACTGGCTAATTAAGTTTTTCAAGTTCATACATTATTTTACAGACTTTTCAGCACATTTGAATAAATGTTTATTATATAAATTTTAATACAAAAAGACTTTGGTCAAATTTATACACTTCTAATTGAAGGATCTTTGACATCAATAGGACTGTCTTCCATCAATATAGGTAAGGGATGAGTGGAAACCTCTAAATTCACACATCTTGCAAACCCAGCAACCCTGTTATCAAGTACTGGACCTAATAATTGGGAAAAAATAAAGTATTACTTCAGTTGAGAACATTATTTTCAAATATTTAGATAACAAAATTAAAATGTGGGGGTTTTTTAATTTTGCAATTTATCTGGATAGTGAATAATTATATAGATATCAAGGGTTTTCCCCACTGTGGGGTAATTATATCAATTTAAATAATCTTATATGTAATTATAAAATATAGATGTTTAAAAAGTCTAAATAACAAAAATCTAAATAAAATAAGATACTTTCTGTTCATAGATTTTTTCAACTGGATGTGTTGAAAAAACTGTTCTGCTGCTTCATTAAGTCAATGACATCTAATTTCCAAATTCTGGAAGGTGTTAAAAAATAGGAAAAGATAGATGTTTTAGAAATTTTATAATTGTCTTTGGAAATTAATTTTAAATACCCAATTATATGAAGAAAATGTAGAGATTCTCTAACATTATAAGAGAACTGTATAGCCAAAAAGGTTAATCTATAAGGGAAAAACAAATTGTTAGAAGATGTCATCATGAAATCAATAATCGGTCGTCTTATTAAGACAGAAAGAGAGAAGAAAGGATAGATCTTTAGTAATGAAAAAAATGGGAAATCACAGAAGAAAATGGTCATGGCATCTAGAAGAGAGAAAGCATTACAGGCTAGACATATATGTAAAAGCATAGAATCATCTCAGCAAGGTGGAGAGAAAAGTGGAATGAGAACACCAAGAAACTGGCATGTCAAGCAAGAGATTTTTAAATTTGATATGAGAGAGGTGTAGGTTTCACGGTGTGGAAGAGGCATGATGGAGGCATCCACTGACCAGGTGTCTGCTGGGTGACCCCAACAGTGCAAGAGCGTCACCACTGATCCTGCTTAGGGCATGACTGAGGGTTGCTGAACTGCCCAGGAAAGATGGATGACATGGTACCAAACCACAGTCCTGGCATTGCAGAATAAGATTATGTTTATTTGCACACTTGATTTGTGCTTTCATCAGTTTCTGTTTAGCTTCTTTTTGGCGACCCCTTTGACCAGCTCTGTGCATTATGGATAAAGCAATCAGAACATAAATTGTCAGTTTGGCTCATCACAGCTCCCGAAGGGCTCAGTGAACACAGTAAACAGTTTTTTCCCAGTCATCTCACAATAAAAAATAAACGGCACCAACTTGTTTTAGGGGCATACTAGAAAAAGTCATGGTAGACCCTGCCAGCTCAGTTCCAGGAAAAAGTATTGAGTGAAATGTTACATGAAGACACAATGTCTATTGCGTGATTCAATACCGTGATGGTGGCGATGAGTTCTAAATCATGGATGATGACTACAGCCCCACACGCCCCCCATCAGTTCTCTCGCTGACTTCTTGCCTTGGATGTCCAATACTGTCAGGCTAACTTAGTCTGTGAACATATTCTACTGTTTTTCTTGTTAATGTTTTCGATTTTAGCATTTGTTTTTTGTTGCCTTTAATGTATTTTTGTATATGTAAAAATACTTGTATGATTAAAGATCAAAACCATTGCTTTAAACATACTCATACAAGTCTTGCAAACTTGTCTACCCTGTTTTTAACCATAATTTTTGTTATTTTCTAGTTTAATATACGGATATGTATCCCGTGTTTGGATATATTCTTATTTCTTTTTTTATACAATATACACAATATCCTGCACCCCTGCTTTGCTTTGATCACTTAAAAATATATCCTAGTGATTTTCATTCTCTCTCTATCTCTTTGTGTGTGTGTTTACAGTTGATAATATTCCAGTTGGTGATGAGTTCTAGGTTGATGGGCATTAATTTTATTCCCCAATTTTTTGTTTTTACCAGTAATGGCATACTGAAAAAAACCTGTGCTTTCCTATATTTGTGGAGGGGTGAATCTTACAGCTGTATTTGTAGACTTGGTATTGCTGAGTCAAATAATACAAGTTTCTTAGATATTATCAAATTAGTTCTCCCCATAGGGATTCTATCAATTTGTACCTCCAACGAGAAATCAGAACAACTGTTTCTCAGAATCTTGCCAAAAGAGCACATTTTCAAAGTTTTCTAGTTTTGCTAAGCTGATGTGTGAGAAATAACATTAAGTTCTAAAATTTTTCTAACTAGATAGCAAGTTAGCAAGCGTAACAGAGAAATGCCAACTTGTTCTCATTTTATAGTTTTGGAAATGTCCTAGTATTTAGAAATAGCTCTTTAGAGTCTTCAGATTTGCAGAAAAACTTTTAAAATACCAATAGCAGGCATTACACCATTGGTTCATTTGCCAACCAGGGGAAGAGCTGAATCTATATTTGTATTTTCTAAAGAAAAAAGTTTATAAAGCCAGTTTTATATTTCATTTGGAAGTGAACACTGTCATCCGGACTCTAATATTGCACATAATGCAGTTAAATATGCTTTATTACAGTCACAGTGTTCCAACTTATATGTATAAATGTTTCTTTCATTTGTATAAATAAAATGACTTGAAGATTCTCTTCTAAATTGTCAGTCTCCTAAGATTTGACATTCAGTATATCATCCATTGCAATTAACCAAGAAGTAAAAAAAAAATAATGATTTTTTTTTATTTTCATGGAACAATGAGATTTCATCCAGATTTTCTGATTAATTTGGTATTTTACTTTGCCATTATAATTCAATTTCTGTAGCTTTTCTGTTCATTCCTCGAAGGCATTTTTATCATCCATGAAAATCTGAAATAAAAAGGAAAAATATTTCAATATTCATTTCCCCCCACAGGGATCCTGGTGCTGCTCCACTGCAAATAAGTAAGTAGAACAGACATTTTCAATGTTTTTTGTGCCAGAAAGCAAGTTTCAGCTCTTTAATATGGTTATTTTTTTATTGCTCACAAAACGAATGAAAAAAACTGAAATTACTTATTGCTATCAGTAATACTGGATTATCCAATTATCCAACAACAAAATAAAGGTAGCTAACAACCCCTTTTTGGTATATTATGCCATGCTAGAAAATAAATTATTATTAATATGTTTGTATATGAGACTATTATATTCTAGATCATATTTAAAGCAACAGTACTTGGTTATCAAATTATTTTACTCTTAGTTATGTAGCTTCATTCTTACAATATACCTGTAATTTTTTCTAAAGAGAACCAAGACTACATAAAAATGTAGCATCATGCTCTTCATTGGCTTTTTAATAGAGAAAACATACAAACAGCGATAAATGCTTCATACTTAAGTAATAACTGGATTGTCACAAATCCTTCAATATATAAATTTGATAGATTCCAGAGATGCTTTAGCCCATAGAGAAACTCAACACATTTTGATTATAATGAAACTAGATTATTATGTTTCAGTCTAGAAGCAAAACATATCCTGAGACAAAGGTTTTGAAATAAGTGTGTGGTAGTCAACAGGTTAATTATTTGTAATAGGTAAAAATGGAGGGAGAAAAGCTGTGTGATGAAGTGAAAATTTTATTTCCAAAGATCATATGTATATGCATGCATTTTCCAGTGAACAAGAGAAGATTCTAACGATGAACTTGACGATCCAACTTTATAACCAACTAGTACTTTACCAAGTGATGAGATATTCCAGGGAATATCCCTAGAAAGGAATAGAGCTCCATTTTATTAATTAATCAATAATTCATCACCTTACTGGACACCTTTGAGTCCTTGGGTTGGGTTTCAACTTTCACCTGGACCTTGATGACCTTCCTTGCCATCCAGATTCTGCATTCTATGTCTTTCATTTTACTCATCTCACTCTGATTAAGAGCCATTTTTAGAAAACTAGTATGTGCTTTTGGAGGCAAGAGAAGATACTGGCTTTCTGAGATTCCAGAATTCCTGCATTGATTCTTTCTCATTTATGAGGCCTGGTGTTCCTTTCACTGTGACCTAAGTTGAAAATATTCAGCGGGTTTCATTTCTGAGTGTTTTCAGAGGGCCAAACCTCTGTTTAGTATCTTTATTTATAGCTGGATTTCTGCCTTAGTTTTCACAGGTACTGTGTAATTGCAAAACATTTTGACGTTGTATTTTCGGCTTTGATCCTGCAGACGAGGTTTGAGTGCTGGACGGTGGATGGGCTCTTACCCACCCACAGGGTTCTTTTCTATTCTGCTGCACCCGCGCACTGCGAGGCGGAACGTCTGGGTCGAGGCGGAACGTCTGGGTCCAGGCAGGCGCAGGCCGCACGGAAGGCGTGGTCCCGGACCGCTGATGCGCGCTTCCCAGCTGTGGAGCCCTCCCGCACCCCCCCCCCCCCTTGCTGTTCTGAATGTTCCCTTCCGTTCTGAATCCCCTTGCTGCCTTGCTGGATTTCAACACAGTTTCGTAGATGCTGCGCCCACAGGGTCGGTGTTTACGGCCCACCGTGCCTCCTACCCGACAGCGGCGCATGCCGGAAGCCTCTGGTCCGCCATCTTGACCCTCACCTGCCTTCCGCTGTGTTTCTTTTTCTATTAAGAAGTGCGTAGTTGGCCGGGCGCAGTGGCTCAAGCCTGTAATCCCAGCACTTTGGGAGGCCGAGGCGGGTGGATCACGAGGTCGAGAGATCGAGACCATCCTGGTCATCATGGTGAAACCCCGTCTCTACTAAAAATACAAAAGCTGAGGCAGGAGAATTGCTTGAACCCAGGAGGCGGAGGTTGCGGTGAGCCGAGATCGTGCCATTGCACTCCAGCCTGGGTAACAAGAGCGAAACTCCGTCTCCAAAAAAAAAAAAAAAAAAAAAAAAAAAGAAGTGCGTAGTTTTCAACTGCTTGGAGACTTTCCTGTTATTTTTCTTTTGATTTCTAGTTTGTTCTTTGTGGTCAGATGACATAGTCTGTATGATTCAATTTTTATGTGTTTTTTAAATAGCCGAGGTCATAATCTATTTCGATAACTATTCCGTGGGCGCATAGAAGAGGTGGCGTGTTGTTAAGTGTTTACCAGATCCTGTAGATTTTTGAGGTCCTCTTATATCCTTGGTGATTTCCTGTCCAGTTACTGTTTCAGCTGTTGTGAGGGGGTGTTGAGATCTCCAGTGAAAATCTCGTTTACAACATGCTCTTACACAGCCATTTTGATTCCTCATCCCTGAGGAGATATATTATGACTTAAACCATTACTCTTTTAAAAACTCTATTTCCTAAACATACCAATGCCATAATTTAACCAATCGAATTTCCTCTCAGTAATTCATTTTTATTCTTTTATGCCTGTTCCCTAGAGGTAGCACTTATTATTTACCTCCAAAAATGCTGGTTACAACAAAACTATTTTTGGCTGCTGCTTTTTTCCCCCCAAATACATTTTCAAAACTCACTGTAGAGACATTACATATAGGAGGCAATGATTTTCAAGCCTTTTTAAGAACCAAATATTAGAACCCTAAGGGATTTGAGAAATAAAGTTCACTTATAAATAATAGACTAGAAAGAATGTATGACAAAATAAAAGTCAGTTTCCATGCCCTGAAGGAAATGAAGATTCCTGTACTGGGAATGGAGAAAAAGCCGTAAGTTCATAAAGTTAGCAAAAATTCTCACATCCCTGGTGTAATGTGACCTGCTAGAATATGCCATGTTAGGTAATGGGAGAAATCAAGGACCAGACAAGAAAAATGGATGCCTTGTCCTTTGCCAACATGGGGCGTTGACAGATAAGCCAGGCGTGCCTTCCTTTCCCTAAACTTGACAATTCTTTCTCAACTCTTTTTTTTTTTTAGATTCAGGGAGTCCATGTGCAGGTTTGTTACTTGAGTGTATTGTGCAATACTGAGGTTAGGGGTACCATTGATCCTGTCATCCAGGTAGTGAGCCTAGTACCTAATAGGTCGTCTACTAGTCCCCAGTGTCTGTTGCTGACATATTTATGTTCATGTGTGCCCAACGTTTAGCTGCCACTTTTAAGTGAGAACACCCTGTATTTGGTTTTCTGTTTTTCTGTTAATTGGCTTCAGATAGTGGCCTCCAGCTCCATCCATGTTTCTGCAAAGGACATTATTACATTTTTTTCTATGGCTGTGTAGTAATCCATGGTCTAATGGTATATATGTACTGCATTTTATGTATCCAGTCCACCAATGATGAGTACCTAGATTGATTCTACATCTTTGCTATTGGGAATAGTGCTGCAAGGAACATCCAAGTGCACATATCTTATAATGACTTGCTTTCCTTTGAGTCTATAGATCCAGTAATAGGATTGCTGGGTTGAATGGTAGTTCAACTCTCAATTCTTTGAGAAATCGCCAAACTTCCCTCCACTGTGGCTAAACTAATTTACATTTTCATTAACAGTGTATAAATGTCCCTTTTCTTTGCAGCTTCATGAACATCTGTTACTTTTTGGCTTTTTAACAGATGCCATTCTGACGGCTGTGAGATGGTAACTCATGGCTTTGATTTGCATTTCTTGGATGATTAATGATGTTGAAGATTTTTTAATATGCCTGTTGCCCACTTGTATGTCATCTTTTGATAAGTATCTATTTATGTTCTTTACCCACTTTTTAGTGGGGTTATTTGGTTTTTGCTTGTTGATTTAAGTTTCTTATAAATTCTGTATATTAGGCCTTTGTCAGATGCATCATTTGTGAATATTTTCTCCCGTTCTAGAGGGTGTCTGTTTACTCTGTTGAGTTTCTCTTGCTAGGTAGAAGCTCCTGAATTTAATTAGGCCCACTTGTCATTTTTTGTTTTTATGATAATTGGTTTTTAGGACTTAGACATAAATTCTTTGTCAAGGGCAATGTTGAGAAGACTATTTCTTAGGTTTTCTTCTAGAATATTTATAGTTTGAGGTCTTGCATTGAAATCTTTAATCCATCTTCAGTTAATTTTGTATATGGGCATAGGTAGGAGTTCAGTTCATTTCTTCTGCATATGGACAGCTAATTATCCTAGCACCGTTTATTGAATAGAGAGTGCTTTTGCCATTGCTTGTTTTTTGTTTACATTGTAGAAGATCAGATGGTTGTAAGCATGCAAGTTTATTTCTGAGTTCTCTCTTCTGTTCCATTGGTCAATGTGTCTTTCTGTACTAGTACTGTACTGTTTTAGTTACTGTAGCCTCTTAGAATAAACTTGACAATTCTAATAAAGCTTTTCGAATCTTAACTAGAATTGTAAGGAAGACAATGGAATTGACCAGATTAATCCAGAATTGTGTGAGAGTAAATTTCTAGCCACTGGAATGAAATAGTTGCTCATATTATAAATTAAGTTCAATTATAGCAAAACAAAGTTGCTTTTATTTCTATGCCTAAGTTTGCAAACTATGAAATGTGTATTGGCCACAATGTATCAATCACACAAACAGACTCAACCCAGCCTGCATTTTACCAGAGTACTGGTATGTTTTCCATTTGTGACTCTGAAGAATGCAGTGAATTAAGAGGTATAAGAAAGTCAGTGAGGGGTGGGAATTAGAAATGTGGAGAGTGTCAGGGATTTTAAAAAATATCATTTGGAAATCAAGAATGTTGAAATGTTAATGGCTTGGAATATGAATATCAAAATTTTCAAAAGGTCATAAAAGCCACCTTTGGCTAGGCATGGTGGCTCATGGCTGTAATCCCAGCAGTTTGGGTGGCGGAGGTGAGTGAATTGCTCATGGTCAGGAGTGTGAGACTAGCCTGGCCAGCATGATGAAATCCTGTCTCTACTAATGATATGAAAATTAGCCAGGCATGGTGGCACATGCCTGTAGTCCTAGCTACTTGGG